AATTGTGATTGTCAACTGCAGTAACATGTTAATTTCTTATTTTGTGATGAAATTATAAAGGATTTAAAAATCGCGAATTTGTTTTAAAAAATCCATTGATCCAATAATTATTAATCTATCTTAATTAGTTTAAAACCAAATAATGTTTAAAATTATTTTAATAAAATATTGCACGTTGATTCTCCGTCGAAATAACGTAAATTAAATAAAAATAATAATTTTTGTTTTTAAAAATATTCCAAAACTTTTTGTCGGCCCATTAAAACGGGCCAATTGTTTCTTATTAATTATCACTATATTTTCATATTTTCTTAAAAATTTCGTCATCTGTTCACGTGATAATGACGTCATTTATTGGTTATCATCGACCTAAGTTAATAATTGGTCGTGTTTTGGTGAATTTTGAGACGTCGAAAAATGGTTGAAATGTAACTTCGACCAAATTCGACCCAATTCGTCGACGATTCTACGTGATTTCTACGACCCTGTGTTGCCTGGGGTATAGCATCATTTAAAGCTTGTATAACTGTTTCTTCAATATCCAGTTCTAAAAATTTGGACTCATTGAGTGTTACCGTGTTATGAATAGCTTTTTTCTCTTCTCTAGGAAAAACAAATTGGCCTTTCAAATTGTTTTTTATAGAATTGATAGCTTCGATTCTATCAATCCGATGCATAAAATCTTTAACACTGAAATTTATTACTGTAGAAAACGTCGACGTCATTGATCGGGCTGCACGAAATAATTGTTCACAGTTCTGACTATTCATATTAGATAAATCGAACATACCAGGCGTAAACGTATTAGAAGGATCTCTGCATTTCAAGATAAGTTTTATTAAATTATGAGCGTTTAATTCTATGCAAAGATAGCAATTGCTAGTTAAAAAGTTGTCTTTGATAGTATATTTTTTGCTGGCTTTGATCCAAGATCTCCATATACGAAGAAAAAATACGCAGTACCATATTCTGTGCAAACGTGCCTTTAGATCTAACTTATTGTCCAAAAATGATGTTAAAATAAAATTCATTAGTTTTAAATAGGCAACGGTTCCATTACTGTCTGGAATTTGGGATTTTAGATTTGTAGTTACAGCATCAGAACAAATTTTTTTAGCGGATAAGAAGTTCATTTTGTCCTCAGATTTCAAATCTGATAATGTAAGCATATGTTTATCCTTCTTTTCAAGTTTTATAAGTTGGTAAAGATGATCAACAGTAATAAAATATTTTCCTACAGGTAAAACAATCTTTGGCTTTAAAAATCGTGTTCGCATCTTTGTTAATATATGAACTGTATCTTGTAAAAAGCATTCGTCAACTTTCTTCAGGTCCATTCTAAACCATTCCCATTCTTGCACATCTTGGTCACCTAGAGGAAGACAACAATTTTGACACATACTTTTTAAAAGTCGAGTGTCTCCATCGGAAGAAAACCCTACAACTGTAATTCCATATTCTTTAGCCAATTTTTTAAGGTGTTTCCATCTTTTAATGACGTCTTGTCCTGTAAATTTGTTATCCGTTCCGAAAAGGCTCAAACAATAAGATGGAGAATTGTTTCCAAGGGGTAAAGCCAATACTACATAGACATACATAGCTTTAACACCTGTTTGAAAATATTTCTGAATGGCATTGTATGAGGTCGCGATATACGCATTAGTTTGGGGAACACCGTCTTTCAATGGCAACACAAATCCAATTAGTTTATTTGTTCTTGAGTCATACTGGATTTTTCCGGTTATTCGCGTAGCATCTTCTGATATCCAAACTGTTTTTGAGAGATTATTTTCTTCCAAGAACCTACTTAAACCTTCGAAATCGACAAATCCCTCTTCTACTGGAGAACGTTCTCTACAAATATATCTGTTTAATGCAGAAATAGAAGGTATAGAATTCTGCAAATTTGCGTGGATTGTCTCGTATAATAATCTCCCTCCAGTATAATAAAGATACAACGAGAATTTTTTTATTGCTTCGTCATAATTGTTCCGGTTTTTAGGGCCTTTAGAATTCTGTAAGGACAACTCTAATAATCTTTGAAGGAATGAATATGTTTTTTGTTTAACTGATTTCGATTTTTCTTCGGACAGGTTATTTTCCTGGATAACGTGTTCCAAAAATATATTTGCATCTCCAGAATTATCACTAATAATTTGATTTACTTTTTCAGCCAATACAAAATAATCCGTAATAAAAGTCTGATCAGAAGTGTGTTTTTCTCGAGCTCGTCGATTTCGTTCAAATCTTTGGTATTTCTTTTTCATCCATTTCGAATCCTTTAATAAAGCTTGATTATTTAAATAATCTGAAGTCTCGGAATTCCCCGGTTTTAAGTCTTCAGCTGGTTGGGTTGATTCATAATCAGAGTGATTAATTTCCATCAAATTCTGAACTGTAGAAGTCTCAGAATTACTCAGTTTTAAGTCTTCAGCTGACTGGCTTGATTTATGATCAGAATGATTATTCTCCATCAAATTCTGAACTGTAGAAGTCTCAGAATTCCCCAACTTTAATTCTTCAGCTGGCTGGCTTGATTTATGATCAGATTGATTAATCTCCATCAAGTCTTCACCAAGAGAACCCATTTTTAACGTGCAGTTTTCTGTTTCTAAATAAATGTTGTTTAATTCTGTAGGGTAACAATTGGTCAGTGAAAAATCCTTTATAGGCGAACTAACTGAAGTGGAAGGAATAGTCGAGGGAATAGTAATATTTTGAATTACGTTTATTTTGCTTCTTTTGGGAACAGGTTCCGTTAAAAATGATGTAATAGGCAGATTTTTCATTTGTTTTCCAAGTTTTTTTGGTGCGTTGTTTTTTTCAGGACTAGGCTCTATATGTTTTTTCAAATGCTTATGAAAATTGGAATAAATCCATCGCTTATTAGATGAAATACCCTTGGATAATTTTGTAATTTTTACTTTTACCCCACAGAAACAAGTAATTTTACAAAACAACTCATTATATGTATCTGTGGTGACAGCAACAATTAAATTGTCAAATTCTTTGGACAACTTATCCCATAAAGCACCGGTAGTCTTACTTTTTGTCCAACTTTTTAAGGTACTCCATATTGCAGCATTTTCTTCTGTTAAAGAAACAGACTCAGTCCGAGTTCGTGAGCCACTAGAATCATGACGACTGTGTTCCCCAACATTTTCTAGTTTTATAGCAGATGAGCAGGTTGAAGTCGAGGGAACAGCTTTTCCGCGAGTTTTTTGCATTGCTTTTCTTTTTTCTTTTAATTCGAAGTGGGATTCATTAGTTATCTGCTCTTGGGCAAATTCAATTAGTTTAAGAATAATTTGCCTATGCCCAACAACAAATTTAAATAAATGTGGTTTGTTGGCAAATAAACCGTAGTATTTTTCGAAATCATGTTTTTCTACAATGTTGCGTAAATCGTTTCTAACAAAATCTTCAATTTCGCTTATTTTCGTCTCGTTTAATTCTGCTACAAGCCTTTTATTGTCATATCCATTTATAATAAGTATGTTTTTGACTGTTTGCGGGATAACAATATTTAATTTAGATTCAAATGATTCAAAAAAATTGATAAATCCGTCAGCCATCTGTAAAAAAGTAAAAAATAGCCTAGAATTTGCTGCTAACGCACAGTGTTCCGAAATAGCAAAAAAGTGGCCAAAAAAACTGATAAAGATTATGGAATTTTAAAACCATATTTTTGTGGTTTAAAAGATTAAAATTGTGTAAAAGTAAGTAAGTTAAAAATTTAATTATTTCCAAAAGTATGAAAAAAATATGAAAAATTAAAAAAATATACTGAGTGATATTTTTTTATCCCGAAAACTTGTCGAAGTGCCCTGTGAGCACGCCTCTGGAATAACTGGGTCAACTGTTACGAAACCTGTTCGAAAGGCACATCATAAAGTTGTCAACAAACTGTGAAAATTTTATGAAAATCGGTCTAAGCGTTTTTTGGATATTAATAAAAAACTATTTTCTTTAGGAAACTTTAACACCCTGTACATCAAAAAGGAAGCAAAATTGGACAATAGTTTATAGGACAAGGTACCTTTATTTTTCGATAAACTATCAGCTGGTAATATCCTAACGGTATAAACTGGACCACCCTGTATATCAGATGTTAAAAAAAGAGTAAAATATTGCAAGGGCGTATAAAACAGCCAAAAAGAAAACAAAAGTTCCTTTGGCGTTTTTTGATCTGACTCGCCCTTAATTAGTTATTAATTAAATAAAGTAGCATTAACAGGGGTGCTTTAGCAGAATAAGTAAAGGTGCGACAAACTAAAAACCTAAAAACAATAACACTGATAGTAACAACTATACAATTTAGGCCAATTTACACTATTAGAAATCCAATAGCGTAAAAAATTATTGTTTTTTCCATAAGAACGTTAATACAGAAAGACCCAAATTGTATTTATGGCCGCTTTCCGGCGATTTCAGAACGGTAGGTTACACGAGGTTATACACTAGTGTTTAACATCGAGAATTTTTGTTCAATTCAATTTGCGTTAAAAATATGACAATTATGATTATAAAAAACTTACTTTTACAAATTTCCAACTTTTCCAAATATTTGTATTGCTTTGTTGTGTTGCCGGCAGCTGGATGTGTTATGAACTCGGTTCTGAGGAATCGCAGTTAGGTTAGGTTAGGTTAGGTTAGGTTAGGAAAATGCGCGGGATATTTAAATATTCGTTTTAATTATATTTTATTTCTTATACTTCCTTCTTACTTCCCTATACTTCCTTCGTACTTCCCTATACTTCCTTCGTACTTCCCTGTACTTCCCCGTACTTCCTTTATATTTACTCGTACTTCCCCTTATATTTCCGTACTTCCTGTACTACCTTTCAAAATTTCACTTACTTCCCGTACTACCTTTAAAGACTTCCTGTACTTCCCACATGTTGTACACCATACTTCCTCAGCGATCTACCCCTTGATACAAAATTATATAATAAAATATTTATTAAAAAACATATATACAAAATAGGATCAAAATTTATTTATTTAAACGATTTTTTAGATCTCCAATCTAAATATTCATCAAACTCATCTTCTGCTTCATCATTTTCTTCATCCATTTTCTCAAGAGGTTTTAAATCACTGGTAACAGTTATAACTTCTTCTTTTTTCTTTTCAAATTCTAATACCCTTAATTTACAGAGATGTTAATGAATTAAAAAACATGACTAATAAAGACTTACTTGGATAAATGCTTCATTTGCTCATCTATTTCATCAATTTGCCTTTCTGCTGTTGATTCTTCTTGATCTTCAGCAATTATAGCATTACTTTGATTGTCAGCTTCTTTTATAACTTTAAGGAATTTGTCCCATTCTTCCTCAACAGGATCTTTATATTCTTGATGTCTAGCCTAAATTTAAATTAGAATAATTTTTATTATAAACTTTAATCCAAATATCCATTAATTCGTCCTTAATTTAATTATTTAGTAAATGATACTTTTAAATACCTTAAGTTATATAGTTTTATTGTTACTTATAAACTTATAAAGAATCTTATAATAAATAAAAGTTTGCGAGAAAGGCAAATTAATTTTTCTAAAAACGGTCTATATATATATATATATATATATATATATACAGGGTGTCCCAGAACTCGCGCCACAGAGAAAAAGGGGGCGTGCCGATAGCAATGGAGATGCCAAATTTAAAAATAAAAAATTTCTAGGTAATAGTGTAATCGAATGAGAGCAAAAAAGCGGCAGCCAATACCGAGACATCTCGCCTAGGTTAAACGTAGGAGCTTTAAAAATTGCTAGGAGACGATAGAACATTGTTGTCTTAAAAACATTTAAAAATCTTTTGGCCAACTGTATTCACTAAGTTGTCAAAAGCTTTCAAAAAATGAGGTTATTAATCTATGACTGATACTTCAGAACGCCAATGTTTTAAAGTAAAAAATCAAACCAGTTGTACTTTATTTAGCTTTTTTTGCGCCCACGCTCCCCATAAATAGTTATCATTTCGGTATAATCATCAAGGAAAACATTATTTATAATAACTTAATTTATTACCTAATACAATATTAATGACAAAAGTAAAGATTGACAGCATTGTCAATAATAACTTAATTTATAACCTAATATAATATTAATGACAGGAGTAAAGATTGACAGCAGTTTTACAATGAATTGGATTCCAGTGGACCAAATATTTTACATATTTTTTATTATCAACAATGCAACCTAAGTATCCTAGCAATTTAAAGAATTCCCTGTGGTGATCTATTGGGATTGGCTATCGTTTTTTATTCTTATCTGTCTTATCCTTTGCGTTGAACAATTTGAATTTTTAAATATGTGTTTCAAATTACTTTCGGTACGTTCCCTTTTTCTCTGTGGCGCGAGTTCTGGGACACCCTGTATATATACAGGGTGTCCGGAAAAAGGAGGTTAATCCGTTAACCATGTATTCCTTGAGTTAAAACAATAAGACTTTTATAATACCATTTTTCAATTTAGAGCTTCATGTTCGATATACAGGGCGACAATGTTTGAAATTTAAAACTGATTTTTTTTTAATAATTCGAGTAATTGATAAGATATTAAGTTCAAATTCGGTACACTTCTTTAACATAAATAGTTACATCTTTTGAGATTAACAAAACAAAAAACAATTGTCAAATAATCAAAATAGGGGGGTCCAGTACCCACTGACTCCCCCTATTTTTTAGTACGTGCGCCAATAACTTCCAAACTTTATTTTTTCTAGTAATCATTTATTGATGATTATTTTTTGTCTCTTATAAAATTTTGATAAAATGATTCGATTTGGAGATAATTTGTAAAGTATTGGTCCTTGATTGATGCCTACGCGGCTTAAGGCAATCTCATAATTTTCAAATACTCTAAATCAAGTGAGCCGCTGTGGCATTACCATTGATACAATAAAGTAAAATTTTGCAATAGGTAATAATTCCAAAAACTAGCCAAAAATAACCCAATCTCAGTGACGCACAGATAAAATTAATACTAAACCAGAAAAATTAAATTAATTTTATTGCCCTAGGAAGAACTTACAATAATTACAAATTTTCTTTACATAACAGTAAAACGCCACTATTATCGCTAGTTCAAGTCAATAATTTACTATCACTTTTTAAATAAATTTGAAGCATTATAACAAGCGCACGTCCGAACGTGCTTGTCCAGCGCTAGAGGTCGGAGCGCGGTCACAAAAACATTTATAACTTTTGAACTATTACAAAATAATAACTTTTTTTACCAACATTTTAGTAAAATAAGATAAAATGTGAAAAAATTAAAATCCTAGCAGGCGGAGAAGTTTTATTAATTTTCAATTGTTTAATAAAAATAGCTTTATTTTTTAAAGGTTTGCCCCTAACAACAAATTTTGTATCGTAAAGTATATTTTTCAACAAAAATTTTGATACAAAAAATGTTAAGTTTTGATGAACCGTTCAGGATTTATCAATTTAAAAAAAAAAACATCCACAAAAAGTATTGTAAAAATCGATTTTTTGCAAAACAATTTTAGGAAAGTTGTTTTTACCCCTAAACCGATTGAGACCATCAATTTTTAAGTGGCACACAATTTTGAGCCAGTAGAGACGCATCATCAATTAAATTTTAAAGTCAATGTGGGGGCAGGTGTCGTTCTTTTACGTCCTGTAATTTTACCAGGAAATTTGACTGGTCATTCATTTTTGATATTTCTTTAAAATACACAGCCCGATTTACTTGATGATTTGCCTCTACTGGTAAGACAAAATATTTGGTTTCAACTAGACGGTGCTTCTCCGCATTTTGCTAGAAATGTTAGAAACTATTTACATCAAATCTTTCCTAATCAATGGATTGGTCGGGGTAAATATGCTCCTGTTAAATTTCCACCCTGTTCCCCAGACTATTCGGTATGGAGATGTATGATAGATTTTGTGTATATGGTTCCGATTTTGAGCAAAAATCATTTAAGAGAAAGAATCCTTCAAGTAGGAGAGGAGTTCAGGTTGAAGCCAAATATTTTTCGTAGGCTAAGATTTTCTTTAATAAAGAGGGCTGTGTATTAAAAAAAATATATTATGTTTTGGTTACTATAGTTACCAAACTTGTTACATATTTTAAGGAAATAATATGTTTTAAATAATTGTTATCTTGTTATAATGCTTCAAAAGTGATAGTAAATTATGAACTAGCGATATTAGTGGCATTTTACTGTTATGTAAAGAAAATTAGTAATTATTGTAAGTTCTTCCTAGGGCAATAAAATTAATTTCATTTTTCTTGTTTAGTATTATTTTTATCTGTGCGTCACTAAAATTGGGTTATTTTTGGTTAGTTTTTGGTATTGTTACCTATTGCAAAATTTTACTTAATTGTATCAATGATAATGCCACAGCGGCTCACTTGATTTAGAGTATTTAAAAATTATGAGATTGCCTTAAGCCGCGTAGGCATCAATCAAGGACCAATACTTTACTAATTATCTCCAAATCGAATCATTTTATCAAAATTTTATAAGAGACAAAAAATAATTATCAATAAATGATTACTTAAAAAATTAAAGTTTGGAAGTCATTAGCGCACGTACTAAAAAATAGGGAGTCAGTTAGTACTGGACCCCCCATATTTTGTTTATTTGACAATTGTTTTTTGCTTTGTTGTTCTCAAAAGAGTAACTATTTATGTTTAAGAAGTGTACCGAATTAGAACTTAATATCTAATCAATTACTCGAATTATTTTAAAAAAATTAGTTTTAAATTTCAAACTTTGTCGCCCTGTATATCGAACATGAAGCTCTAAATTGAAAAATGGTATTATAAAAGTCTTATTGTTTTAACTCAAGGAATACATGGTTAACGGATTGACCTCCTTTTTCCGGACACCCTATATATATATATATGGCCCTCTTAAGATATTCAGTACCTGTGGGCTACTTTTTCAAAAGAGGAGTTAGTTAGAAGGGTTATACAAGTTATACAAAAGTGTCAGAACTAGAAAAAGTTCATTTATTATCATTTCACTAAATAAAAACATAAAATTCAAACAAAATTAAAAAAACTATATGAACAAAACAAACTTTATAGTAAACAAAAAATAAAAGTAACTAAACAAAAACAAAATTTATACAAAATTTAAAAACTATACGAACAAAAACAAAGTTTATAGTAAACAAAAAACAAAGCAACTTATATATTTATTTTCCTAGCTTTTTCTTTTGCAAATTGATTAATAATATCACTCGTTTTTATGTTTTTAAATAAGGCACTCTTTATGAATAAAATACTCAAATCATTTACAATTTGCTTTGTCCCAACGAAGAAATATATTGAAATTAGACACAAATATGGTGCTTTTGCAACAGTGCTATTAGTAGAAATGTGTTTCACGAAGCCGGCCGAAGAGAACCCGATGGCGCTGCTGACGCTGACAATAGAAAACGAACAGAACCAAAACCGAACGTATTTTATTCATGCATGCATATAATATTTTCTATTTTATTTAATTTTGTATAATATTTTCTGTTTCATTTAGAACCGGTTATTCTTTAATTTTTTTCTTGAAAAGATTTTCAATAAAAAATGTATATAATAATAAAAAAATATAACATCAATAAAAATTAACGCCCCCAAAAGGTTGCGCCCCGTTGGTCCTGTATATACATATTTACATATTGAACCGTGGGTCTAGTAACAAAAATTTGACAGCACAAATGTACTTAATAAACATAATTAACAAGGTTTATTTAAGCATATTATATTAGTTGTCAAAATTTTGTTTATGCACTAGTGCACTAGCTAAATTATTGTGTAAAAATTTTACAATTAGGAGTTGGCATATATATTTTTTAAATGGTCTTAAGCCTCATTCAGATCCTTGTAATTAGTGGAATAAATTAGTGGTTTCAATTAACGTAAAAGTTTGCAATAATATTTATATAATTAGCAAATCTTCAAACTTTTTGCTTTGGACATAAAATATCCGCGCACATGCGCAAAGCCACTTTTCAATTATATTTAGTGGTAAAAGTTTGCAAACTTTTTCCACTAATTGAAAAGTACTACCACTAATTTTTTGGTTGTGAACAACACTGTATATATTCATAAGACAAACTTTTACGTTAATTGAAACCACTAATTTATTCCACTAATTACGAGGTTCTGAATGAGGCTTTAATCTATTCTAAAAACAAATTTTGGACATAATTTTAGTCAAAATGTATTTTTTGTAATATTTAAGAAGTCCGGAAACTAGTCTTTAAAATAAAAAAATAAATAATTTTCCGATGACACTTCGGATATTCCCGCGTGACCCATATCTATACCCCAGAGCCAAATTTTATATATAAGTCCATTTTTAAAAATCACGTCACATATTTTTTGCCTATGTTTTTTCTCTCTTTCTAATGGCTGAGTAAGTTTTTGAAAAAGCGGAGACATTTAGGCAAAAAACGTGTAATGTAATTTTAAAAAAATGGACACAAATCCATTGCAACCATTTAAGCATATTTAGTTACTAAAAAACTAAACTTTTACTAAAATACATCCTAATGCATTTGCGTTTTTTTAAACTGCCAGTGTTCATTAAAATAACAATGTTGTCAGATTTAAAATTTTATCATTAATAGTATATTATAGCAGAGATAGGTAATAAATATTTAAATAATTATTTTGGAGTGAATTTGACAATAGTTAACTCTTTAGGTAGTTAATTATATTATTTTTAAGGTGAAGTTTATGTTTTTAATTCAAAAGGACTCCCAATTTTTATTTCTTTTATATTATCTAAAAACTATGATTTTTTAAAACAACTTAAAAATACTTTTGGGAAAAATAAAATGTTGGTAAAAATTCCAATAATTAAGGACCTTAGAATAAAAGTAAATAATTCTGAGATATTTGCATTTAGTGTTAAATTTATTTAAACAATTATTGTTAAACCTTATTTAAAGTGGACTTACCTATAGGTACTAATAGTACCTGGTACTATGCTCCGCACAAAAAAGTCCCACCACATGACGTTGTACGGAATGCAGTCTTTTGAAAATTTGGTAATTTAGGTTAACTATATGTCATAATATACTGCTTATGCTTAAAAGTGTTAATAATAACATTTCACAATTACAATTACAATGTTTGGTTTAAGAAATAATAAATACTGCATTTAATGAAATTCTAAAGTGTATAGTGCCAAATAAGTAATATTTTTTGCATCATATATATATTTTTGGTCTACATATCTGTTTTCCAGATTAAAAAAGGTTGAACTAAACAGCAGAGCTTCTGTATCATAGAATATTCTTTTATAAGAATATGATGTGTATTGAAGGTCGGTTTATATATTATAACAAAAGGAGTATTTGAAAGCATGTTTTAATGTGGCAAAAACAATTTTTTATAAAAATTTGTAAAGTAAAAATATTAGATGCTGTAGGATTTATTTAAATTTTAAACATAAGTGGTAAACATATAAATATGAATTCTTTTGTTGACTATACCCTACTACTACTTGACTAATAGTCGATGACTATACTATAGTATAGTAACTATACAAACAACTGCATTCCAAACAAAGTCTCCTCACCTACTTCTTGATAAAATATGTCATTTTATTTTTCAAACAAATTTAATACAAACGATTTTTTTGTTTTATCAGGGATTATTAAATTTGAATCAATGTATTTATTACCTTTGCATCTAATTTAGGATCATCAAAAAAGCCTTCAGGTAATTCAGAATTATCCTCTTCAATTTCCATTTTTTCTTGTTCAACAATTTTGGCTGTTGTTTTAGGGATAGCGTTTGATTTATTAGGTTTAGAAGTATCAAAAAAATCATTTGGTAAACCATTACTACTGCCTACATCCTCAGGTTTTGAAGTAGAATTTTTTAATATTCCCCTGGGTTTTTTTTCTGGTACTTCTTCTTCTATAACTATTGGAGGTGTTAGGGCTCTCTTAATAGGTTTTGTAAAATTATTAGTTCTTTCCTTTAATTTTTTAGCCAAATCTACATTTTGTTTATGCTGCTTTGCATTTATATGAATAGTCCAAACTGCCTCTGATCTAACCACTGATTTACATAATATGCAAGTTAGTTGTCCCTGTTCATTATATGTATAAAAATGTTAAGAAAATATATTGCAAGCCATAAAAAGATCAAATAAAATTGTAAATTTATAATAAAAAATAATTAAAAGGATATTTTGCAAGAGGTGAATCAATTTTCTTGACATCTTTTTGGGCCTTTCCCTTGTGTTGATTCATAATCTTTCGCAATTCGGTTTGAGAAAGCTTCTTTTTTGCATTTTTAAACGTTGCTGACATGATTTTTGTTGTTTTTAAAACGATTCACAACAATATAACCTAAAAATATATTTTTAAGTAAAATTTCTGATTCACACAGTGTGGACAACAGAAAAATATTACTAAATAAACAAGTTTGTTCACATTTGGAAAACTTGAGTGGGGTAAAGCATGATACAAGGAAACATGGTATGCAACTATTGAAACCAAATTTCGTCCTCCACGCGTCTTTAATGATATTATTGTGTTTAACTTTACAACCCTGGCTCTTGAAAACGAAGCTTTAAAACAAACAAGTTCATATATACTTTTCTTCTTATTTTTGCGATTTCTATCGATTACTAAATTTTCCAAATTTAAATCTGTGACACCCTGTATACATGTATGTATTATACCTACATATGGGATACTGGGTGCACCCCGTATATACCCAGTAAGCACCAAACACTAGGCAAACAGTCGGCCTTCGCTCGGCATAGGCGGTTGACCGGCGGTTCGGCTTGCCCCAGCCGGCCCGCTTACGGCCCGCGTTACTGCCGATTAAATATAGCCGACATTCGGCCAGGCGGATATGCCCGACAGTTGGCCAGGCGGGTATGCCCGACAGTTGGCCAGGCGGACATGCCGGTTCTAAACGCCGAAAGAAATACGTGTGTCGGGCCGCACGCGGCCGATTCGGCAAAACGTATTCGGGCCGTATGCGGGCCGGCTAGCTTGTGTTTACTGGGTCAAAAGTTATTTAAAAACAAACTATTTCCAGGGATTCTGTTATGGGACCGTATTTCCGTAGAGGGTGCCGTAGGAAAAAATAATATAGGAACTTGTCATATTATTTTTATGTGTTCTAACTAAATCCGGGAGATTTCCCACATATTCTGGGACACCCTGTATGTAATATACGTGTACACGACTTACACTGGTGTACTTTAGTGTATATAGTGCAGGTTAGGACATTATTTTGTTTTATTATGTTGCATTCTTCATTTAAACCTAACCGCACTTTTTTAAGCGGTGTTGTGCATTATTTACAATGGTATAAATTGTTGATTTGTTGATATTAATAATTAAAATTAAATATTTTAGTATTCAGTACTTCAAAAGAAGGAAAATGCCCATAGTGAAAGCATTTGGAGTTGTGCTTGGGGTAAATCTGTGCCGGAAAAAAAGAAAAAAGGGCAAGAAGATGGGGATGATGAAAAATCCAGGTTTTTATAAATACCTACTTGTTGATTTTGTTTTGTATTATTGTATTGCCTTTTAAAATTAGGGACTCTATTATGTCAGATGAACCTCCAACAGAATACATTATAACCGGAGGAGTTGATGATTTGGTAAAAGTATGGGAGCTACAAGATGATCGTTTAGATTTAAAGTATAACCTAGAAGGACATTCCTTGGGAGTTGTTTCAGTGGCTATAAGCAATAGTGGAAAATGTAATTAGTATACATTTTTTTAATTAATTTTTACTTAATATTTTATTTTATTTATATATAAACTGATTTAGTATGTGCATCAAGCTCTTTGGACTCTAGCATGAGAATATGGAACTTGGAAACTGGCGAAAAAGTTGCCAATATTGATGAAGGACCTGTTGATCTGTGGACTGTTGCATTTAGCCCTGATGATAAGCATGTTATTTCTGGATCTAATGAAGGCAAAATTACTTTATACAATGTAGAAAATGCAAGTACTGAACAAAGTTTTGAGTCCAGGGGCAAATTTACACTCAGTATTGCTTATGTAAGTAACATATTTGCTTATAATGGTAATTGAGTATATTATTTAAATTTTACTTCATTATAATTATTACCAACATTTTAATTTACCTTTTATATGTGGCAAAATTTAGTTTTTACTTATTTTGAGATTGAAAATAAATATATTAATGCCATATACAAGGTGTCCCAGCAGTTGCACACCTCCTTGAAGGTGTATGATCCACAGGCTCTTTGGAATACCATAAAATTGTAAAAAAAATCTACCATTATTACATATTTTCTTTAAATCACAACATTGCCTAATAATAATGTAGAAGTTTAATTTTAAATCAGTCCAAATGATTTGACCAAATTTGTTACCTACTAGAAGTTATTTATTTTACTGGGACTAATAAAACCATGGATTTAATCTTTGAAGAAAATCTAAATAAATATTGACATTACACTAACACACAGGCTGAAGGACTTTATATTACCAAAAATAAAATCTTTAACTTTCTCGTGAAAATACGGTATAATATACAGGGTGGTCCAAAAGGACCCTTTAATAATTTGAATTAATAAAATATGTTAAAATAATATTAATGTTCTTAATAAACTTATATCATAAACTTAGCAGTTTCAGAAATACAGTGTTGAAATTTCATATATTTATTTTAAAGAAATTCTACCAAACTAAAGAACATGTTTTTTTTTAAATTGTTTTGTATTAGGTACCATTCGTTTTCATACTACAAGCAGAGATGTCACCACAGGGGTGATGATATTTAATTTAAAAGAAAGAAAGATACACCAATGCTTAAAAAAAAGGAAAATTAATTTTATATTTTATCAAATTTTCAAAATGCCATCTGGTTTGCTCCTTTTAAAGAGTAAAAGGTACTTCAGTGATCTAATTATTTGATCAAATCAAATCAATAGTTAATTTAAGAAATCGTAAAATTTTAATTAATAAATTCATTTTCAGTAATTTATAGTAACAAATCAAAAAAGTTTATTTTGAAATAATGAAATAAACTAAATTACCAAACACTAAAGAAAATAAGATGACCAACTATGAATAGAAATGAACTGACAGGCAGTCAAGAAATGTCCTTATTTGAACTAACCAAACTAAGCATATAATAAAATTTAATTACAGTGAATTGAAATTGCTAATTTACCTACTTTGAAGCGATACATTTTACAAAAAAAGAGGACTTCTTCCTTTAATAGACTGCTTATGTTAAAAACTGAAAAAACTCCAAAATCACAAGTTTATTAAGAAAATTTATATTATTTTAACGTTTTTTATTGATTTTCAAATTATTAATGCTTCCTTTTTGACCACCCTGTATACAGTGTCCAGTTATTTGCTCACCATTGCTAACTCCGTTATTATTGGAGCTACAAAGTAGCAAATTGAACATCAGGTTTCCAAAATATTCACAAAAATGGGAAACCCTGTATATTTTTATATATTTTAAAATAATATAATTTGGAACAATAGTTATTTATGTATCAAGGCAGTAAAGTCGTGTATTTTTTATCACGAAAGTGGAAATTATTTGCAGAGGCGAAAGCCGAGGTTAATAACCACGTGAGTGATAAAAAATGACTCTATTGCCGAGGTGCATATTAAATTTTATCCAAAATCACATTTAATAATACTAATAAGTAATTTTGATGATCAAATCAAATGTCATTTGATGATCAAATCAAATGTCATTTGAATATAGGAAGTGTCTACGTATACTGTTTGTTGCGACGTTTATGATATATTTGACCGCCGCGGCGATTTTTTAATCTGATTAATAAAATTAACTTATTATATTTATTAAACAACATTTTATGAACGGGTCCAATTGACCTCCGCGGCCGTGCTTTTTTTAAATATTATTTAGTTGCTGCTGAGTAGCAGTTGATACATCTTAAAATGTATAATGGGTTGCATACAATACTCTCTATCGATTTCTTTTACTTTACTGCCGATTGTTGACTACTTTACTGCCAATTTCGGATAAAAAACTGTTATTGCATATCTACCCTAGACTTAAAAATAAACAATTAATAAGCACTTGAACTTTCTAATGGTTGTTATAATAAGTAAGTTATTATTTTAACAATCAAAAAGTTCAAGTGCTCAATTGTTATTCCGTTTTCACTATTTTAATCAGAAGAAAACATGTCACCAACTTGCTACTTTAACCAACTTTGTAGCTCCAATAATAAGACAGTTTATATTATCATACTTTATTTAAGATAGAAATAAATACAACATTAGGAAACCACTATCTTAAGGTTACTAAATTGCAGTAGATGTCATAATTTAGTTAGGTAAGATATCGCACATGGGCGACAACAGTGTCATAAGTAGTAAAACCTTAATTCCGAGATAATGGCCGTAAAAGATTTTTGAATAATACAATTCTGACATTTTTGTAAAATTATATTAACTTACAGTGTAAGTTAATATAATTTTACAAAAATGTCAGCATTTTATTATTCAAAAATCTTTTACGGTCAGTACTTGGAATTAAGGTTTTACTACTTATGACACTGTTGTCGCCCATGTGCGATATGTATAATAGTGTGTCATTTCCCAAATTGATTTTTTTTACTTATTATTATTTGTTTACAGTATAAAAACAATTTAAAAAACGATGTCATTTAACCCTTCCTAAATGACATTTTAATGACATAAAAAAATAGTAACAATAATAAAAAAAACACTAATAAATAGACATGCAATATAAGAGTAGTAAATTTTACGCTTTACAAAAAAGGTATTTTCTATAATTTAAATCGAAAATACCTTTTTTGAAAAGGGTAAAATTTCATTTAGATATCGGAGGTCAAAATTTCAAATAAATCAAAATGACAAGTATTGTCATTATCTTTTTTTTTTTTTGGATTTTTTAATTCGGTATCGTCTAAATTATTTGTTTACTGTCCAAAAATTTAAAAAAAAAATATTTTTTTTTTCAATGTTGTTTAATGTATGGATGGTTTTGTGAAATTTCCTACAAAAATATATCTATTAATTAGCGAGTTAATAATACTTTCTTATGTAATTAAAATGTCATTTAGTCAGTGTTAAACGACATCGTTTTTTTTGTAAATTGTTTTTAGTTTGTAAGCAAATAATTTTGATGATATCAAAGTAAAAAAACAATTTGAAAAATAACGGACACCCTAATGTATATCATTAAAAACAAAAAAACACTACTATTTTATTAATTAATGTTATATTATTATTTTCTTTGCAGAGTCCAGATGGAAAATATATTGCTAGTGGGGCAATTGATGGAATTATTAATATTTTCGATGTTGCTTCAAATAAATTATGTCACACTCTGGAAGGTCATGCTATGCCTATTCGTTCTTTGTGTTTTTCGCCTGATTCACAAATTTTATTGACTGCGTCTGATGATGGACATATAAAATTATATGATGTGTAAGCAAACTATTTTATTAGTCTTTTTTTTCAGGGTTTGAAAATATCACTTCAGTTGATATAATATATAATATATCGGATATTTTGTATATTATTTTAATATTTTATAATTTATTTTAAAATAAAACACTTACCTTTTCATCAGATATTATATGAAAATCTTATTAGTCTTTTTTTTCAGGGTTTGAAAATATCACTTCAGTTGATATAATATATAATATATCGGATATTTTGTATATTATTTTAATATTTTATAATTTATTTTAAAATAAAACACTTACCTTTTCATCAGATATTATATGAAAATCTAGAGCATACTGAATTTTTAATATTATTACATACACCTTAAGGTGTCTTTAAAGTTATCCCTGAAATGGTTTAGTCTAAATTTTAGACCCATCAGGTACAGGTTTTTACCTTTTAAGACGTAAAAACCCATTTGGACCAATTAAAAAATTCAAAAACTTTCAGATCTACCTAACTTTACTTTCTACTTTTAAAAATTATTATTTTTATTGTACTTTCTATGTATCTTGTAACAAATAGTGTGCTGAGACGGTGTCACCTTTTATTTTAAAGAACCCTGTTTTTATAAACAAAAATGAGTATTAAGTCTATTAAATAGTAAATGGGTAAAGCCCGTATTACATTCAATCTTTCTTGCACGTAAGTTTTAATTCTTCTTCTTCTTTGTTTGGTTTGGCCTTTCCCATCCAGGATTTAGCCAGCTTAAATGTGTAATTATTATACTGGAACAAGCGAGTCTAGGATAACCTATAGCTTCTCATTTTCTTCTTGGTTTTATAGTTTATTAATTATTATTATTTATGTCACTTTTAGATTCTTTTTTCACTTATAGTCTTTTTATTCACTTATGTCCATCACTATCATTTTTGTCTTTTGTAGAGTTTATTCAATAAAGCTTATATCAGCAGCGGAAGTTACGAGGCAAAAAAAATTTAAAAAAAAAACCGACTAGGCACCACATGGCTGTTTGCAAAAATATATTCAGTCCTTCAATATAACGATCATCCTTTGTGGAAATCCCTTGCATCTTTACCAATCTATTGTAGATTCAACAATTATCAACTTATTTATGGCATTAATAAATTTTATGCGATGAGTTTCATATTATCCACTCAAGGATAGCCGATCCATCTACTTCAGCAGATAACACAAAACTGAAGTTTTAATTCAAACTGTAATACACTAATTGGAATTGCAACTTGCATGATACCAATCGAAGAAAAATATAAAACCGAACCTGTCGAGAGGCGCTCGCTACGCAAATATTGACGAACTTGAGTCCCCAGAGATTTTTTCTTCATCTTCTGTAATAATTAAGTATTAAAATAGTTATTTTTGATGCTAGATTGCAAAATTCCACAGTAGCATTCAAGAATGAAAGTTTTTTTGTGAGCATCAGCATCATTCTAGAATGCAAAAGAACTTCGCATTCGAGTATCAAATAAAATTTTTTCGAAAAAAAAAGTATCGCACATTTTATATTATCTATAAATAATAATAATAATAATAATAATAATAATAATAATAATTTATTTGTTGTAAAAAAAATATTACATTTCATTTTAATAATAATACAACAAAATGGACTGGAAGGCAGACGAATCTGATTGTTAATCCAGCCCAAGAAAAAAAGGTTTATTTAGAAACTAAATTAATGTAGTTGAAAGGTTCATTAAACAATTTAAGAAAATATATTAATATCAAAAATATAGGTTTAAACAGAAACAAAAAACAAAAAAAAAAGATTTTTATATAAAAACAAAAGCCTTTTACAAAAACTTCGCAAATATTAATTTTTTTAAAGCAGATTTAAAAGGTTTTATTTTTAGAGTTTTAAGATGTTCGGGTAGGTTATTGTATACAGCATAAACATTATATGAAAAAGATCGTCTAAATATTGCTGTTTTGTGAACAGGTGGGGATATTAGGCCTTTGAATCTTAAATTTAGGTTATGAACATCGGTACGGTACTGAATTTTTCTATTTAAATATGGTGGTATTTTAGTTGTTATTATGGAGTGAAACAGTGTCGCCGAATGAAGTGTTCGTCTTTCTTTCATATTTAACCATTTTGCGTCTAACAATTTGTAAGATATTGCATCAAATTTTTTTATACCATAAATAAATCTTAAACATGATTTTTGAATGGATTGAATTCGAGTTACATTTCGTTTGTCTAGGCAGGGACCATAAAGTACATCACCATAATTGAAATAGCTAAGAACCAAAGTGTCAGTTAATCTAATTTTAAGCTCTTGTGATAATGTTTGACGGTGAGGATAAAGAATTTTTAATCTACTGTAGGCTCTTTTTAGACAATTGGTAACATAATTGTCAAATCGTAGATCACAGTCAATTGCGATACCCAAGTTCTTAGCCACTTTACTGGTTGTCAGATCATTGCCAACGATTTGTATTTTAATTAAGTTTGAGATTACATGCCTTTGTTTACCAAATATGAGAACTGAGGATTTTAGTGAATCAATACATAATTGATGTTTTTTGGATACTTTTACTAAAGTGCTTAGGTCGTCATTTATGTGAGAGTTAGCCAAAAGTAAATTGTCAGGTTCAAAAGAATACATTAACTGTGTATCGTCTGCGTACAAAAATGCCTTGCAGAATTTTAAACATTTAGTTAATTCGCATGTATAGATACTGAAAAGTAATGGACCCAGAATAGACCCCTGCGGCACACCACATTTAATTTGAGTTTTTCTGGATTGCCCCCTGTCAGTCGTATTGGACTCTGTTAGTCAAGTAACTTTTTAATAGATTAATTGAAGAGTCAGAAAATCCAATATAGTGCAAGATGGAAAATAAAATTTCATGGCTAATTGTATCAAATGCCTTCGAGTAATCCAGAAGAATTAAACAAACAGTTTTACCTTTGTCAACATCTCTTATAATTTCATCAACAACGTCTAAAAGAGCGGTTGTGCAACTATATCCTTGGCGAAAGCCCGATTGATATGATGGTAGTATGTTAAATAAATTTAGATGCTTTCGAATTTGGGTATTCATTATTTTTTCCAATACTTTAGAAAGTACCGGTAGTATGGAAATAGGACGTAGCTCATTAAAACCCGTTATTTCTGTTTTCTTCGGTAAGGGGACTACTCTGGATTCCTTCCATTGATCGGGAAAATAGCTTTCAAGCAAACATGAATTTATTATATGTTTTAAAAATGGGCAATATAGTTGACAGGCACAAATTAATCATATCAATACTCAGCTTATCCGATCCAACCGATTTTGTAGCAATATTATTTATACAATTTTTAATTTCATCTTCGGTTGTAAGGGAAAAACTAAACAAATCTGCAAAATTCTGCTTTTTATTTGCGTTATAATATCTTAAAAGATCTAAGTCTGGAGGTATATATTTGGAGTGTTGCGATAAGTAATTATTTATTTCATCAGGTTTATTTAAAGTATCTGGCAGTGTTTTGGGTTTAGAATTATTATAAATATTTAAATCACTTAACTTATTCCAAAGAACCTTACTATTGTTACAATAATTATTCGCACAATACTCCAAATATGCCTTTTTTCATTTTTTATTGCCGATGTTAGTTGGTTTTTAATCTGTTTATAGTATTCCAGTGATCTACATGTTTGGTGCGTTTAAATTTTGCAAGGGCTTTATCACGCAAGGACATCATTAATTTAATATTGTCAGTTAACCATGGAGGTTTTTGTTTTTTAATCATTACGTTTTTAATAGGCGCTAATGTGTCAAATATATTCATCATTAATGTATTAAAATATTGTATTTTATCATATATACTATCAATAAATAAGATATTATAAAAGGGAGCAGTTTCAAGAAAATTGAGGAGTAAGTTTTTGTCAAGGTACTTAAGGTTTCTGTATTAAATATATTTAGGACTAAGTTTCGTTTGAACATAATTTATATTACAATAAACCAACATGTGATCTGAAATATTAAATACTTCCTCTGTACCCGTAATATATGATTCATTATGATTATATATTAGAATAATGTCTATGAGACTTGCTGAATTTTTAGTTATTCTGGTAGGAGAGTCAACAATTTGTTTTAAATTAAAAGAATCAATACAGTTTAGAAATGTCAAAGTCGACGGTTGTTCGGACTGTAACAAATCTATATTAACATCACCTCCACAAATAATTTCATCACATTCTGGCAAGAAGTCGGATAGCATTATCTAACGAGTCAATAAAATCAGGTACATTATTATTTGGTGGCCTGTAAAGTACTCCTATAATATATGATTTATAATTAAACTTAATTCTAACCCAAAGTTGTTCGACACAATTATTAGGTTCTATATTTAACAGTTCATAACTTAAATTGTTATTCAAATAAAGTCCAACACCACCACCTCTACTTACTCTATCTCGACGAAGGAACCTATATCCTTCAATATGAATTAAATTAGTATTTACATTTTCAGACAACCACGTTTCACATACACCAATAAAATCATATTTTTTTTGTAAAATAAAAACCATAAAATCTGCAAAATTATTTGTCAATGATCTCACATTATAAAAAGCAAAAGATAAATTCCTCATTACATAAAATTTGGTTTAAATTTAAAAATGTTAAAAAAAAGTCCCCTAATCCCCTTGTATTTTTTTTGCCTCAGCTCTAGTGTTCCTTTTTGGTACTGCTCCTGTTGGTAATTTATTTCTTTTCTTTTTACTTTCCTCGTCCTCCTCGTACGAATTTTTTAGTATTTGTTCGATGTTTTCATTAAGGTTTTCTTGTAATGATTTACTGTTTCTATGTTTTCATCAGCATTGGGTACCTTAAGTGTGTTTGACTTAAGTTGATTGTAAGTGTATTCTTTTCCGTCGACTACGAGTTTATTATTTTCAATTTTCGCTTTATATTTTTTTTCTTTTGCAGCCTTTAGATATTGATTCAATAGCTTCCTCTCCTTATAATCTTCAGATGCATAATCGGAGGTAAAAAATATATTACTGTCTGTCCACTCTAAGTTGGCGGAACTAAGGAATTTTGTAGTTTAGATATTAAAGAATTGTCGTACTGTGTGCTTTTAAAACAGATTTTATATTATAAATAATACTAGTACATATTATATACTAGTATTATTTATAATATAAAATCTGTTTTAAAAGCACACAGTACGACAATTCTTTAATATCTAAACAACAAAATTCCTTAGTTCAGCCAACTTAGAGTGGACAGACAGTACTTTCTTTTAACTCTGCTTGTTTTTCTTTTGATTTTTTAAGTATTTCTGTTTTTAAACTATAATTAATTACTTCAATTTGGATAGGTCGAGGTTTACCAGAATTTTTTTTCCCTATTCTGTATATATCCCGAAGATCCTTCTTATTACATGGAATATTTAGCACTTCATTTATTTTCACTTTTAATCAAATTAAACAGGTCTTCATTAGTAATTTGTTTATTCATATTTTAAGTCCGATATAGTTACTACAATCTTTGTCGAAATCAAATCAGGTGTCTTCGGTAGCTCAGTCGGCCAGAGCAACATGAACTCAACATGAACCCAAGTCTGCACCGCGCTCGACGCAAGTTCGATTCCAACTTCGGTCAGAATTTTTATTTTTTATAAATTTAACGAAACACTCAATTGTTTTTATTAGAGTTTTTAAATGTTTTTGTAGTAAATTCTGATTGCTTTACACTTTAAACAAATCAAATATCTAATAATATTGTTAATATCACTTCACTTTTTGCGTCTATACTAACTAGAAACTTTTACATTTACAACTATCACAAGATATTATTTTAAATCCAAGTTAAAACTACTTAATTTTTGATAACAACAAGACAGAAATTATACGTGAATTATTCAACTCTTGAACCTCTGCGGTAAGAAGCAAAAGGGTACAAGTGCAAAAAAGAGAAGTGAAGTTACCTATTTGTTTTGTTTTAGTTATATAAAACAATCTGGATACTTCAATGTTTGCATTAATCAATATGCAGAACTCGTACAATTTTCACATTAAGAGAGAATATAAAAAAATGTGGACTCTAAACTACCCAATTCTGCACTTACGATTCAGTAGTATTTGCATAATAACTTTTAGATATTTTTCTTATTTCTTATGTTGAAAAAACAAAAACAATTAATTTTGAAAAATCACTCCATGGCTCTCTTGAGATGCGTCAGGGCTACTCATTTTGACAAATAACCACATTATAATATATATTATAATAATATTATGTAATCGAATTTAGAATACAAATAAACAACACACATAATACGTATTAGGGTGGTCCTTATTTAGGGTGTGTTCGAATTTTTCTTCACGATAGTCCTAAGTAGGTTCCAAATATATAAAAAAAATAATGTGTCAAATTGCAGCTCTTAATTTTAAAATTAAGCCGGCCCCCCCGACAGCCAAAGTTTTAAATGGAAATAACATGGGAAAAGTTCTGTTATTACTTTGGATTTTTTTAAGTCATGAACTAATAAACGGATTATATAGAAGGATAAATATTCTTATAACAAATTTAACGCTCTACAAAAAAGGTTTCTTGTGATTTTTTGCTAACTTGACTGGTTCAAAAGTTATTTGAGGTCAAAATCAAAGTTCTAGTCAATTCCATGGTTTTTCCATTTTTATTGTGGTTTATGATTCAAAAATGTAAAAAGGGTTATACCTAGGGGGTTATAATTTATATTCTACATGACTTTTCTTATCTTGACTTTTGCTCTAAAAAGAAAAATATTTATTGATTAAATATTATTAAAATTTCAATGGATTAAAAAATATACCAGATGGTAAGGCAGTCGCTTGGCATGCTAGAGGTACCGGGTTCGATACTACTAGAAGTTGTCGAACTTTTTTTATTTTATAAATTTGTTGTTCCTTTGTTAAAAAGTGTTGGGTTGGGTTGGTTAGTTTGTTTTAGTTTTATCGTAACATAACAAATCTTAAAATTATGACGTCACTCGGGACGAAGCCACAGCAATGTTTTTATTAAGAAGTTTGAATTTAAAACTAGAGTTTATCAAAATTTTTACTAATTATTTAATTAAAATCAAAATCTTTTAACAATACCTATGTCCAAAATATCTTGCGTATCCCCAAAATTTAAAAAATCCTAAAAAGTTACGACAGTGCAAAAATAAAAAAACAATTGGTGTAACCAACTTTTTAGGGTCACGATTACCCTGAAAGTTTTCTAAAAAATAGAACCATCTAAAATATAAATTATAACCCTTTTTACATTTTTAAATCATTAAACCACTTTGAAAATGGAAAAAAACATAGAATTGACTGGAACTTCCATTTTGACCTCGAATAACTTTTGAACCAGTTAAGTTAGCAAAAAATCACAAGAAACCTTTTTTGTAGAGCAAAAAATCACAAGAAACCTTTTTTGTAGAGCGTTAAATTTGTTACAAGAATATTTATCCTTCTATATAATCCGTTTATTAGTTCATGACTTCCAAAAATCCAAAGTAATAACAGAACTTTTCCCATGTTATTTCCATTTAAAACTTTGGCTGTCGGGGGGGCCGGTTTAATTTTAAAATTAAGAGCTGCAATTTGGCACATTATTTTTTTATATATTTGGAACCTATTTAGGACTATCGTGAAGAAAAATTCGAACATACCCTAAATAAGGACCACCCTAATATGTATATATATATATATATATATATATTATGTGTATAGAACATAATATGTTATATATATTATATATAACTTCAAAAAACAAACCAGCGCTTTTGACACTTAATATAATGTAAAAATCAACTTTTAAAGTTTTTTAAAGATTGAGAACATTTAAAGTTAAGTTATTCATTTTTTTTCTCTACCGAATATTTAATATTCCATAATAGGCTTCTACGTAAATTTGAAGTAATTCGATTCCGTAGTATTTGCATAATAAATTTTAGATAAATATTTTTCTTATTTCTTATGTTGAAAAAACAAAAACAATTAATTTTGAAAAATCACTCCGTGGCTCTCTTGAGATGCGTCAGGGCTACTTATTTTAACAAATGACGGGTAGGCCGTAACAACGTTGTAAGTAACATTTTGTTACAGACTATTTTTACAATAATGAGCTCTATGCCTTTATATTTCGTATTATATGTTCATTTTTAATAGAAATCAATATTCTTATAGCAAATCTAGTAAATTTTTTGTTACAGCCTACCCTTCAAATAACCACATTATAAAATATATTATAATAATATTATGTTATTGAATTTAAAATACGAATAAACAACTCATATGTATGACATATACCGTGACCGGCAGAAGTATGAAACAAATTCATTTTAAAAATTTCTAAAAAATCCTTGAACACTTTGCTTTTGTTTATTAATTACGCACATTTTGATGTAACCTTTTTATATTTGGCGCCATTTTTATAGAAGCTATGACGTCATCGGCCATTTTTTTAAATTGCACCCCCAACTTTTTTTTCCACATGTATACCTTGTGGGCTGATAGTTTCAGAGATATTAAATTTTAAAATTAAAAAATATAGTTTTTTAGCGATTTTTTTATAAAATAAAAAAGTTGGTATGGCTAAAATGTTCATAAAATCTATTTAAATACTTTATTTAAGGTATAAACTCATTCAGTTGTTCTTTTTATTTTTTATTATTTTTTTTGTTCTACAAACAGCAGGTTCAAACTTTTAGTCGAGTGTTTAGCGGTTTTTAAATCTTGAAATAGGTCCTTTCTTTTTTGACGAGAATCTGACAGGACAAAGATATTTGGAATGTTTGAAAATTGGAATGTTTGAAAATCTCTCTTCTTCCTACATTAGCGGAAATATAACGAGGATGGAAATCCGAATCTTCCAAGTAATACTATTTGGTTTCAGCAGGACGGGGCACCTCCGCACTATGCGCATCCTGTCCGTACTTTTTTGGACACCTGTTTTCCTGAAAGGTGGATTGGAAGACGAGGACCGATAGAGTGGCCCGCGAGATCTCCGGATTTTACCCCTCTCGATTATTTCTTATGGGGCTATCTTAAAGCAAAAGTCTACATCAACAGACCACAAAATTTAAAAGACTTGAGAAATCAAATTCGTGAAGATAGTCGCTGTGTAGTGCGGAAGTCATTCAAAACGTTGTCAGAGAATTTTCGGATAGGCTTGCTTACTGCCAAGAAACCAACGGTTGGCAATTCGAGCATTTAATTGGTTAAAAGGTGTAATTTTTTGAAAATAAAAAAAAATAAATCACCAACTTTGAAATTTAATAATACCCAAAACTATCAGCCTAACAGGTATACAGGTGCATATTGCTAAAACCAGAATTTCATACTCTAATCGAATCTGCAAAAAAAAAGTTGGGGGGGCAATTTAAAAAAATGGCCAATGACGTCATAGCTTCTACAAAAATGGCACCAGATATAAAAAAGTTAGATCAAAATGTGCGTAATTGAAAAACAAAATCGACGTGTTCAAGGTTTTTTTTTGAAGTACTACAGGACATTTTTAAATGAATTTGTTCCATACTTTTGTCGGTCACTGTATACATTCAAAAATAAAACCAGCGCTGCAGCGCCTCTAGGGAATTTAAAGTGTGGATTGGTATAAAAAAGTTACCAAATTTTCTCCAGACTAGCATGCAACTGGCAATAAAAATCTAGCAGGACGGATAATTTTAAAACGGCAACAGACTTAAATTTGGATTTTCGTTTTGCCTTAAAATGATATTCTTTAGTGTAATATAATTTTATTTTTTTAGACAAAACACAGATTTGGTGGGAACATTATCAGGCCATGCGTCATGGGTTTTAAGTGTTGGCTTTTCTCCTGATGGAAAACATTTTGTTTCTGGAAGCTCAGACAAATCTGTTAAAATATGGGAAATGAGTACTAAACAATGTGTTCATACCTTTAAAGAACATACAGATCAGGTACATTATAAAATAAATAAAATATGTTCATTGAATTTTTTGTTTTTATTTAATTTTTAGGTGTGGGGTGTAAAGTATAGCCCAGACAGCACAAAAATTATGTCGGTCTCTGAGGACAAATCAATGATTTTGTATAGCTGTCCAAGTTAAAATAATTTTTATAATTGTAATATTTTAATGTTTAAGCATGGATAAATTTATTATAAACAAAAGCATGTGTTAAAGAATTATAATAAACTTTGTACAAATTTGTCAATTTTTGTTTTTTATTGTTTTCTAAGACCACATGCATACTAATATTTATTTTTTAATTTACTTGCATTCAAATCTGCCAATTTGACACTTATATCGATAATAAATCCGTTTTTATAGCTCTAATAATATAAGCTTCCATCAAATAAAAAAACGAAAATAAATTTAAAAAAAATTAAACCTTGAGATAAATTTTAAAAGTACAATAATTACACTAGTTTACAGCCATTTTCCCCACCATGTCACACTATGATTTTCTTATGTAGTTTGGCTCACTAAATGCGAAAAAAATTTTCGTGGAGGCGTTTTCGAGATATGAATTTTAAATTGTTTTTTTTTAAATTTTTTGATGCGTTTTGACGTTTTAGAGTATACTTCCGAGTTCTAATTGATTGATTTGACCAAATAAGCACTTATATCAAAGGTAATTGAGCCCTCTACAACTTTCTCTTGTATAGTTTTGGTATCGACTGTGTTAATGGCAAACACTAGATCGGCCAAACTATGATCCCATTTTCTTTGACCGGCCTCACAGAACTGGGAAATCATAGTTTTAATGGTTTTGTTGGCCCTCTCAACAGGATTGGCTTGCGGGGTATACGGCGGGGTAAACCGGTGACGGACGCCCAGTCCGGTCAAGAGTTCCTCAAATACTTTACCGGCGAACTGGGTGCCATTATCGGATATTATGGTTCGGGGGCACCCAAACCTTGTTATTACTTTCTCGTATAAGGCTTGGGTTACGGCACGTGCGGTGGCATTTCGGAGTGGCTGACATTCCACCCACTTAGTAAATCTATCCTGCATTACTAAGAGGTACGAATGTCCCTTGGAAGATCTCGGGAGCGGGCCTACCAAGTCTATACAGACGGTGTCCCACGGGTTCCGATTTACGGACGGTTGCATTTTGCCGGGTGCTTGCTGCTGGGAAATTTTGTATCTCTGGCACGACGAACATTTTCGGACATATGCGGCGATATCGCGAAACATACCCGGCCAGTAATATCGGTTGGCAATTCGGGTGATCGTTTTCGCGATACCCATATGTCCGGCGGTTGGGGCGTCGTGATTCTCCTGGAGAACGCTGACACGCGTTTCTTTTGGAATACATAGTTTCCACGGGTCGGTCATTTCGGGTTCAGTCAGATCTCCTGAGACCCAGAAATGGCGGTATAATCGGTTCTCACGGACACAGTAATCGGGAAATGCATTGGGGTTTTGTTGTACCTCCAATCGCTTTCGGGTATACCACGAACAGGTTTCGTTATTCGGCATGGTCACAACGGACACGATCGGGATTTCGTTCGGCAGGGGGTCTCTAGATAGAGCATCGGCGATACGGTTAAGTATGCCTTTTCGGTATTTTATCTGGAAGTCGTACTGCTCGAGAAACAGGCTCCATCGGGCTAGACGTCCAGCAGGACTCTTTATGGAGTGCAACCACTGCAGACTTTGATGGTCGGTAATCACGGTAAAATGATAGCCTTCCAAATAAGGGCGCATTTTTTCGATGCCCCAGACTATGGCAAGACATTCTTTCTCGGTCACGGAATATGCTTTTTCAGCCGGGGCTAAAGTGCGACTTGCATAGGCAATCACATGATCCCCATCGGCGGAGTTCTGGGTCAGTGCAACTCCTAGCCCCTCGTCGGAGGCATCGGTTTGTAAAACAAACGGTTTTGAAAAATCGGGACAGGCCAGAACGGGAGCGGAGGTTAGACTGCTTTTTAGAAGCTCAAAAGCTTTGTCTTGTTCCGCCTCCCAGGTCCAACGGTGTCCCTTTTTCAACAGGCGGTTTAGCGGTGCGGCGGTCTGGGAAAAGGACGGGACAAAGCGACGATACCATGAGGCCATGCCTAAAAATCGTCGCAAGCTTCGGATATTTTTCGGGGCCGGTAGTTCCCGGATCGAATTCACTTTATCAGGGTCGGTTTGAATACCATTCGAGGTAATCAGGTGCCCCAAATACTTAAGTGATTTCCGGCCAAATTGACATTTGTCGGGATTTACTCGGAGACCGGCGGCTCGGAGACGGCTAAAAACCTCCTTCAGGTTTTGTAAGTGTTCCGGGAACGTCCTGCCTAGGATAATTATATCGTCCAAATAGGCAAAACAAAACGGGTCTAATTCAGGGCCGATGATGCGGTCCATCAGCCGCTGAAAAGTAGCGGGTGCGGAGTGTAACCCAAACGGCATTACTCGGAATTGGAACAGCCCCCGCCCCGGCACAGTAAAGGCGGTTATCGGCTTACTGTCGGGAGTGAGCGGGATTTGCCAATAACCTTGTTTAAGGTCGAGACTTGAAATATATCGGGCGGCTCGCAACTTATCCAGGATGGCGTTTATAAACGGTAGTGGATATGCATCCTTTCGGGTTATTGCATTAACTTTTTGGAAATCAATACAAAAACGGGGTTTTCCGTCCTTTTTCCGGACAATAACTACGGGAGAGCTCCATGGACTCCGGGACGGTTCGATTATGCCTTCGGCTAGCATTTTATCGACCTCTGAGTTAATAATCTCTTGCATTCGGGGGTTTTGCGGCCGATAACGCTGTTTTATCGGTTCGGGGTTTGTCAGGCGGATCTCATGACTTACTAGAGATGTGGTTCCTTTTATATCCTCAAAGCCGGGTAGTTCGGCGGTTAGAAAATCGTGAAGCTGAGCTTCTTCTTGTTCGGACATTTGGTATTCGGCATCTACCTTCGGTTCGGAACGTTTCGGATCGGTTCGGTTCGCTGCAGCTCGGTTCGGTTCGGTTCGTTCCGGTTCGGTTCGGTATTTGCCAAATCGTTCTTACGGACGACGGTATCGGTGCCTGATTTGCACGGGGTTATTACTCCAACCTGGGCCGGAAAACACATCGTCAGCCTACATTGGGCTAAATCAAAGGTTACTCTAAACTTTGTCAGGAAATCCATACCAATCAGTAGATCGGAGGATAATTTGGGCAGGTGCCCAAAAGTTCCAGACACGGTGCGGGCGCCTATCGAAAATGTCATTGGATAAGTTCCCGGTATAGGGACTTGTTGTCCATTGGCCATTACTACGTATATGGCATTGACATTTTGTTGCGGGTAGCCTAGAACAGCACACTGTTCAGCTATTCGGTCCCCCATATAGGAGTAGGCAGCGCCCGTGTCAATTAGGGCTAAATACCGTTAATTATTAAACTCAATCGGTATATGTGGCCGCTGATCTATGGTTATTATTTCCACAGAACTGACAAAGCTTGTAGACGGGGACGGTGTTGGATCAGCTACTGTCACTTTCGTGACCTTTGGTAGCTGACGTAACCCTTGAGTAGCAGTTGGCAGGCAGACGGGTGGTCCTCTTGCCAGGGAAGGTGCTTTTATCGGTGCATTCAGGGTCGAGGCGGCGGACTTGCGGTACTGTGTTTGCCTCGGCACTACACAGTCCTGTTCGGGTTTCCCGGACACGGGCAGTCTCTGGAATATACGTCTGCCTTACGGCACCGGGAACAAAATATTTTCCTTTCGTTCGTGCATCCTTGTCGGGTGTGTCCGGACTCTCCGCACCTCCAGCAAATAAGATTTTCTGAAACTGCCGTAGCTGGCCGCGACTGGGCGGTCACCGGGGTGGCGGATGGCGAGTTCGGAGCCATGTGTCGGGGCGGCTGGCATAACGTCATAGCCTGAGCGGGCAGCGGTTTCGGGACGGTTACGGGCGGGGCGCCTTGGAACTGATTGCGGGAGAAACGGTTCAGTTCTTTGCGCAACGTGTCGTATTCCTTAACCGCTTTGGTAAACGACGGGAGATCTAGGCAGTCAGACCGACGCACCTGTTGTCTAAATTCGGGAGCTAGGTTTCGGTATAACCACTGGAGCTCTTGCTCTGCGGAAATCGCGCCGTGGCGGCGAATAAGGGTTTGCATATCGGTAATGTATGCGGTTATCGGTTCTTGCAGCTGGTGCAGCCGGCGGCTGATTTCAGCTTCCAAGTCGGTCAGGTAATTTGTCGGAAAATAATGTATCTTAAAGTCGGTAACAAAATCGTTCCACTGGTTCCAGAACCTTTTGTTATTTCGGAACCACAATGCCGCCTCTCCTTCTAGGATCTGGGGCAGTGGGGATAACAGGCGGTTTAACGAGATATGCTGGGCCTCGCAAATTTCCTCGATGCGTTCCAGGAACGCTACGGGGTCTCCTCTCCCGTTAAAGGAGATTTTCCACTTATCCACCCTTATACACGCTACTGTTGACGGGGTAGCTGTACTTCGTTGGACATTGGTGGCGGTGACGGGGAAACCTGGCGGGCTATATATGTGGCGGTGTTTGGCGTTGCAGCCATCGGCGGGGATATTGCAAGGTGGGCAATATCTTCGGTTATTGTCGGCGTTGTTACTGGCCGCGGGGATATCGCGAGAGGGGTTGCCAAAGTCGGGGCTGTCCACGTCACCGTCGAGGACGCATTTATCGGGGCTGACGTATACACTGGGGCAGGGGTCACAACCTTTGCCGGGGAGGAATGGGCTAGCAAGTTAAACGATTCATTTTGATCGATGGTTCTCAAGGAATTACTTTTTCCTGTCCGGAGAAATTGTATTAGTCGTTTTCGTTTGTCGACTCGGGTACCTGTCGTATCTAAATCGAACTTACTTAATTCTGCCTCCAGTTCGGCAGATTTTAAAAGGTAAACCCAACCAACGCGAGCGTCGGTATCCGGTACAGGGTCAGAAATTACGTTCTCGACTTCCACAGATTCTGGATCAGCCTGACGGGACTGGCTTTTGGTTCCCTTTCCCATATTCGAAAATTTTCTTACCGGCCTTTCAGGCCAAAATTTTCTCAAAAACGGTTTTAGTGACCCTGTGTTAATACCAAACGAGGGGTCACACGGGTATTCGGAACCGAAAATTTTTCACCGGCCCTTTTGGCCAAAAATTTTCTCAAAAACGGTTTTAGTGACCCTGTGTTAGTACCAAACGAGGGGTCACACGGATATTCGGGACCGAAAATTTTTCACCGGCCCTTTTGGCCGAAA